CTGATACCTTAAGGGTGTTTAGTTTATGTCCTGTACTTCATGACGCTTAAATGGCTGTAGCAGGACAGGTATAGCATACTAAAGAGGCTTTACAAAAGCACCTTGAGAAATTGTCTTTTAATGTTTTTAACGTAGGCGTCTTATTCCTCTTGCTGTTTTCTCTGTCAATGTTTTGTGATGGCTGACGCAGCAAATTCTGCAACTCATGTTCCAGGCTAAGAATCTTTTTTTGTGACCAGTGGTCCACATTTTGGCCCACAGGAAAGAACGTGTTATTGCCTTACTTTTCACCCCTTTCTGCAATGATAAATAAAAGCATTAAATCCTCTGATAGTATATCAGGCTGAGCCACTCTTGCCTTTCTTGCATAGTTTGCATCGTGGATCTTCAGCATGTTCTATCCAATTCACCTGGGAGGTCTTACACTTCTGTTTCTTGTTTGGAAGAAAGTAAAAAGGAAATTTGGGAAAAACTGCACAGAATATTTAGCAAGTTCCTCCCTTTGTACTATTGGGTTGCAGGAAAACCAAGATGTAGCAAAGCCCAGGAATGCGAGCTTTGAGATCCTGTATTGGAGAGCTCTGCCATTCTGACTTTAAGGTGAGAGGTGTGGTTGGGTCTATACTTCATGCTGGTTCATCTTTATGCATGCAGCAAAATTCGCTTTTCCTTGGCAGGGACCTTTCAGAAACACCAAGGGTCTTGCTGTTAGTTCTGGAGATGTGGGGTTTTTTCCTCTATTGGAATATTTTATTTTATACCGGAAGGAACAGTTTTTGCACTGAATTTTACTGTGAAATGAAATTTATGCTAGCATACTCAGAGCCAAGGTTTAAGGCACTCAAATTATGTTTTCTAAATCAAATAAATAAATGTGCACCTGCAAATCAAACTGGATGCGAAAGCATACAAATCATTAATTAAATGCTTGAGTACGTTATTCTTGGAACTGAAAGCTGTAGAACCCTTGTTAGTTTTGATGACCTTTATATATAAGAAATCTAGATATGCTTAAGTGCCTGCTGAAGTATGGGATGGTTTGGTCATCATATTAGCTTTTAACTTAATAACTTGCGTTTCCCATGGCGTTATCATGCGAAAATATATGGTCCAGAGTTTGGGATTGTAGGTCTTTTTTTGATCCGTCTGGAAGCAAGGAGAAGATTTGGATTTTGAGAGATCACTGGTGCACCATGTACCGTAACTCTGGGAACTGCCGCTGTAATAAGATTTTATATTGCTCCTTTGGAAATGTCTGCATTGCTTTCTGTCAGAGGCTGGATGAAATATTTTTTTGTTTAACTGTGTTCTATGCAGATCTTAGGAAAGAGTCGAAGGACACAAAGCCAGGTTTTGCATCTAGTCTCAGCTGTCTCCCCTGTATTCTGAAGTATTCCTATCCAAGCACATGCAGTAGCCTTACCTAAGTGTTTCTCATATATTAGATATTATAAATAATGTACTTAAAGGATGATGTGAATGAAGTTGCACGAAATGGTATGTTTTGCCTTGCCCTTCTCTGTTACCAGAAACTGTATGCCAAAGAGTTTGGCATAAGTACAACCTTTCTTGTACTTTACCACCTTTACAAGCTTTGTTCCTTTAATTCCTTAAGCAGAACGGCACTCAGCTTGGCTGTAGTTTACACTGCATTTCCTGAGTTCTGGGATTTATCCTCTCTTGTCTACAGCTTCTCACTCTGCTCATAAACCATATTGGAATATTTATGACACAGACTTTTGTAACAATTTATGGGAGTCTTTTCTTCTCAAGAAAGATTAAAGTTGACTGATCCACGCAAGATTGCTGATTTTCCATTTAGAGGAGCTAGGCATATGAAAAATGTTTTCAAAGAAGATATTCTATTGGGAGAGCCAGAACTGGTGATTCTGGTTTATTCTAAGTTTAAAAAAAGGGGTGGGGAGAACAAAATGAAGAATTTCATATAAACAGTCATTTTGTGGACTCTCTGTGTCACGGATACTGCAGGAGAATTGTGTCCCATCTATTTATGCTGGTATGAGCAGATGAAAAAAAACCAACCTTAATTCATGTTCATTACATTCAAGCCATCATCCTTCCCCATTTCCAAAGTAAAGGCTGAAATCTTTCTCAGTGGGATATTATTTTGTGGAGGATAGGGTAGGAAAGGATACTCATGTTTTGGTAAAAATAACTAACTAGTTTTAGGGTAGAAACATCTACCACCTTCTGGAAATGCTTGCTAGAGGGAAAGTTCTGTAAGACTTTGGCATACAAATATTTGGTCAGTACATGCCAGTCTCTGGACACAAGTATACAACTTACTGCACTGACTTATGTGAGAGGAGACTGTTAAAAGCACAGTCCTCTTCTCATGACATGGTTGTCTCCTGGCAGTTTCCTTGTGTAGTAATTGAACCTTTAATTTTAGAAGATGTAATACATTTGAGAGTTGGTTTATGCTAAAACCCATGGCCACAAATAGTAAGTTGACAAATAAATAATAATGGTTATAGCTGAGAGAGAGACTGCTTGTGAAAGTGGGTTATTTAAATTACAGATCCAGGCATGTGTGTATTGTGGACAACTGGGATGCTACCCTGAAAATTAGAACGTGAATCAACTTGCTCCTCCTCTCTGAATACTGAACAGGAGTGACACTGCTAATCTGCTTTGTATTCCTGCGTATCATAGAACCATGGAATGGTTTAGGTTGGAAGGGACCTTTAAAGGTCATGTAGTCCAACCCCCCTGCCGTGGGCAGGGACATCTTCAACTAGATCAGGTTGCTCAGAGCCCCGTTCAGCCTGGCCTTGAATGTTGCCAGGGATGGGGCATCTACCACTTCTCTGGGCAACCTGTGCCAGTGTTTCACCACCCTCATTGTAAAAAACTTCTTCCGTATATCTAGTCTAAATCTTCCCTCTTTTAGTTTAAAACCATTTCCCCTTGTCCTATCGCAACAGGCCCTGCTAAAACGTCTGTCCCCATCTTTCTTATAAGCCCCCTTTAAGTATTGAATGGCTGCAATCGGGTCTTCCCGAAGCCTTCTCTTCGCCAGGCTGAACCACCTCAATTGTCTCAGCCTTTCCTCATAGGAGAGGTGTTCCATCCCTCTGAACATCGAAAAGGAATAGTGATGGTGTTCTGTAGGTTCCTTTGTGGAAGAGCTATCCTTTCTATATCCTGGAGGTAAAATTAGTGACATTCACAAATTTCACAGTCGCTCTCTGTCTGTATTTGCTTCTGAACCGAAATGAACTGCAGTCACTGAGGATCAGCACAAAATTGTTAGCTAGAGAATTTTTTTAGTAGCAGCACATTTAGATTTAAACTGTACCAGCAATATTTGTGTCACAAACAAAAATTCCCTTTACTGAAATGAGTGTAGAGAGGCCAGTGGTTTATCACAGTGCACTGCAGGAGTCCCTGGTTTGGTAGGGGCTGCAAGCAGCGGGTATTCCTGCTTTGCTCTGAAGTGATGCCCCTTGTCTGCACCTTTTTTCCCACCTAGAAATTCTGTCCAGGTTCTAATTGAAAAACTGAAATGTCAGCCTTAAAATGAGAAGTGGCAGCCACATATTAAAGGTTTTTAAGTACTTATAGCCTCAAATAGCTGCCAACTAAGATTTCTAAGAATATTTTTGTGCTTAACCCCTATTACTTCTAGACACCTAAAAATTTTTTTTAAAGCCTGTATCTTTGGGAACCTTTTGAAGTTAAGTAAGAGTAAATCTGAAGGAGTGTGAAATGGGACAAAATTATAATTTGAAAACTTCGTTCTTAAACCTTTTTTGAGATTTGTCTATATACCTGCCCTTGCAGTTCCAATTGATGTAATATGAAATAAGCCTGTATAGTGCAAAATACTCTGAGAATGTTTCATTCATTTTTGCCGCAAGTGCTAGACAGGAAAAAAAAAAAAACCACACCCCAGGAAAAAAAATAGTAAAGCCTTGAAAAATGATATTTACAGTATTGGTTTCGAAGCCTTGCAGACAGCATCTCATGAAAGCTGTCTGAATACTTGCATCAAGTATTTCAATAATTTTTCAGTAAGAATTTAATGTGAAGTTATGCTGTAATTTTAAGTCCACACATCTTTGAATTCCATATTTAGAGACAAAGCTTGAATTTAAATGGATCTTAAAGGAACATCTCAGATTTTGCCTGACAAGAAGGAGTCCTCTGTAAAGGGATATTGTTTTCTGTTCCTGCCTCCTAAATAACGGTGCAGACGACACTGCCAGGCATTATGGCATTTGGGCTTTGTCTGCTGCCCCCATTATATTTACTAATAGAGATTTGTATTCATAATGTAGCTGATGATTCATTTGCCAGTACATAGCTGAATACTTCTAGCTCGTTTGGCAGTATGTGTGTTGGCATAGCAGTCATCATGGAAGCAAAATTTATGTGTTTGTATTTGGATCTTGTGGCAGATGTGTAATATAAAGGAGCTACCACTTTGGCATGGGCACTTTCCTGGCTGTGCCCACATTTTAAGTGTTCCCTGGTTATGATCTGTGATTGTGGCTCATATTGATGTTTATCTGCCTTTTCAGAATGAAAATAGCACCATTCTGTTTTCCGTTTCTTGTTCTTGCGATGTTGCAAAGATAGTGCAGCATGGTACAAACACTGTGGAAACAGAACTTTATAATGTACTTTTTCTCAACTGCCGTATTGGTTCTGAAAACAATTTGTAACCTGTCTGTCTCCATTTGGCAACTGAAAAGCAGGGGTTTGCAACCAAGGCTTTAGAACGTGCAGATGACTCAATTTCTGTGCGGAGTCAAGTATGTTTAAATTATTCTACGTGGGTAAGTATGTAGGGACCAAATAAGGTAAAGATAAGAGGAAATACCAACTTGCGCCCTTTTTTTTTTGGGTTGGTTTTTTTTTTGGTGGAACTTTATGCAAAATAACATGATCTGCAGACTGGACTTAAGTCTTTCCTGTGCCTGTATGTTAAATGTTAAGAGCTTGCCAAGATGTGTGTATAGTTTGCCCTCAAAATGGAGTTTAACTACTCCTTTTTGGTAAGTTAATTTGCTGAATAAAATTCCTGCTTCTAAAGAAGCACCAGTTTCTCTTCATTTCTCATTTACAGGATTTCAACTGAGAAATTTCAACTAGCCTCCTTCATTTCTGCATTTTTGTCAATATTAGAGCTACAGCATCAAACAGTTATGAGTATTGGGATGCTGTGTCTCAGTTGTAGCTAGTCTTCTGCCTTTGTGCAGGCAGAGGAGAATGAATACGCGAGGAAGTCTGAGGACGGAAGAGCCCGGAAGGGAGGAAAAGCAGCACTACCTTCACTGCTTGTTTCCCTTTACCTTAAACAAATGTGGTCATGCAAACACCACACATTAAACAAACACACTAAAAATTGCTAAAATAAAACTTGATAATGGGGATATTGAGCTGTCTTTGTAAGTTAAATTCTGTGGTTTATTAAGTAAAAATGCTGCTCCAACGATGTTATCTTGGGTGCCTTATTATTAAATGAAGGGAAAACATAGGAGGAAATAAAACTCTCTTGCTTCTTTACTTGCTGGAGCATTTATTTCCCCTCGTCTGTACATGTATTGCGAGAACACCAAGCATAACAAATAGTGTTTGCATGTAGTTCTGAATACAGTGAGGTGCACGATCACTCTTACCTCTGTGAAAGCAAGCTCCAAAGCCTGTCTGGATGCCCAAAGAATTTGCATTTCTGCACGTGTGATGGATGGGTTCATTGTTCTAATGAAGCATGGCTGTTGTTGGAGGTGGTAGTCACACAAGGAGAGAGGTAACCCATCTTTAATGAGGGGCAGTTCTATGGAGGCCTTGAATGCCAAGGCAGAGGTGTAGCATTTCATTTTTTTTATTTGATGTAGAGGGCCAGTGCAGAGACCGTATCTTGTTTTACAAGGGTTTTTTTTATTACAAGGAAGGTGAGAGCTGTATTCTGTACAAATTTTAACCATTTTAGATGTTTTGGCTTAGTTCCCAAGTGTGATGAGTCTTGGAGGTTGCAAATGCATGTATTTCTATGGCCAGATCTCTGATCAGATAGGGAAATCAAACCTCTGGCCATGCACAGATGATGTTAGACTTGCCTGTCTGAGCATCCTTAGGAATTGAGATCTCACAGGCTGCATACTAACTAGCAGGCAGTGGCTGTAATCAAGGGCAACATTATGGCCTAGGGGAATAGAGCAATTCCTCAGAGCAATTCCCATCACTACAGATAGTAGGTGTGTATTTTAAGTACCTCTGAGGATCAGGAGCTTGTGTTGAGGCAGAATCTGAAGGTGGATCTTCTCATCAACCAGGCAAATTCTATAACTTGTGTTCCCTCCTTTTTCTGTTCTAGACTGCTTATAGCCATTTGAGGTTGGTTGTGAAGAGGGTAACGGGGCCCTTTTCATTCAGATCAAGAAGCAGCAAATTAAGAATAACAACTTTTCTTCACTGAAATAGTCATAGTTGGACTACTGCACCATGGATGTAGAACTAAACACATTACCAGTCTCCTTACGCATCTGGTTTGTTTAACACTGGTTGTATTTAAGGTCTAAAAAGGAGGATGTTTTCTCATAGTAAATTTCTTTTATATTTTAATTGATTAGCCTAAAGACTGTGCCTGAATACTGCATATGTGGCTGATGTCTGTTTGAGGAGAACATAAAACGCTTTCTCTAAGCATGAAGAATGCTAATTCTCTTTTTCTGCTTTGCTTCTACTCTTAGGCCTGTGGGAGACAGATGTTACTTAGCAAAGGGAGGGATGAATGTAGCTTCTGGGCTCAGAAGTTGTTAAAACGTGGAACACATATGCTGTGGTTCACTGACATTTCTGTTCTTAGATTTGTTCTTTGAACAAACTTCTCTGAAAGGTGGCAGGAATCACCAGCATTGTCAGTACAAAATCAAAACTAGGAGAGAGCTGTGTGTTCACCAGAAAATTGGAAGTTTGATTTATGCTTAGACTTCAAAAACCAGAATATATTGTATACCTACTCACTGAACACAATATTCAGGAGTAAAATATGTAATGTGATAACAATTTTCTCTTTCTTGGTCTTTTTTGTTTCATTTGTTTAAGGCTTAGTTTAGTTTGACAGTTTCAAACTAAACAGTTACAGTTTTAAGTATCTAATGTAATGCAAGTGCAGGGCTAGTTACGAATATGCGTCCTTTTTGATTTGAAAAGTTTGGCTGTTGACCTGTCTCTTTTCAGCCCAATTCTTGTACTGTGTTCATCATCCTGGTATCTGAACAAATAGCACACAAACTCATTTAGAGGAGAGGAGGGTTTGCATGTACCAATATTTAGTTTATTTGAGGTTAAGGTTTCTTTAAAAAAAAAATTGCTTTATTCTTGTTTATCTTGCAGGTTGATCCAGCTTTAAAAGAAAAATTAAAACAGAACACTGTGACGCTGGAATCTGAATATGAGGTAAAATAAATTTGTTGCTTGGGGCTCATAACCTTGGCTACCCTTGATTACCCTGGCCGCTGGTGGGTTGTATCTGTCCCTAACTAAAATTAGATCAGCCATCTGCCTTTGACTCACTGATGTCCAGTAAAAACAAGGTTTTATGTAAAGAAAGGTTTTTGAACATGCAGTGCTTCTTTCTGAACACAGCTTTACTTTGATGTCCAGGTGCCAAGTACGGTGGTACAAATAAACTCCTCTATTTCTGTGGTTAACCTAGTCTATAAATGTAGAGGTGATGTTGGCCTTAGACGGAATGTGTATATGTATACGTCAACACTTCTGCTGCATGAGTGTTGATGATCTTAGACGAAATTATAGAACAATGTGTCTAATGTGCTTTCTGTTATTTCTTGCTTCTGAAACTTAAGTGTATCTTTCAAACAACTGCTGTTCCTTTTTCACTATTTTAGAAAATTTTATAGAGAAATATTTCGCTCGTTCCTCAACAATGCATTTTCTTCAAACATTACTGAGCTCCAAAATGGCTGTTTTGGCCAATTTAATATTCAGAGTTTCATAAATCTTCAGGCCTGCAAAAAGCCCTGTTAGGAAAACTGGATAAAGGCTCCCTGTATCCAGAAACAAAGGATAAAGCTATTTAAGATAATTTTTAATGTTTTAAAATTACTTGGATCAAATGTCCAGCTAACACTATCTATCTCTATGTTCTTTATGCTGAACACAGGTTTTCTTTTTCTTCCCATACCACATTGCTGACACAAGCCTTTGAAGAGCTTGATTGCACCCATAGCTCTCATATTTAGGTGTCCAAATGGCAGTACATGGTCTTGCTAATAAAACCTTTCTATTATATTACTCTTCTGTGATTTGTCTGAAATAAAAATAAAACTTACCTTTGGTATTTTTACATGCCTAATTTCACAGAACATCTGCCTCCGTGCCAGGTTTGCGATAGTGTTTTACCATTCTTGCAAACCGTTTTGGGATGTCCCCCTTCCGCAAGGAACTGTGTTTTACGGTGTAGGGAGTAAAAAGATTTGATTCCTGAGGACATATGGAAAGCTCCAGTGGAAACTCAAAACATACAAATCCATTAAGTTCTGATTGCCTCTGGGATTATTGTGTCTCTCACTTTCCATGGAATATACTGTAAGGCTGCTATGATTTATTTATGTGGAAGAACCACAAGCAGTAAAAAGAACCACATCTCTCTGTTTAACTCACTACCTAACCTCAAAATCAACTGATCTGTATTCAGATATGCCTTGCTTTCTCTCCAGAAGATAAGTAAATAGTTGAAGGATAGTATTTAAATGGCCATAATTGCATTAGCTTTATGGATAAATCAATGGTAATAAAATACAACTGGCATAACAACATATTACAAGCCTACTTGGGTAATGAGGCTCCTTCCTGATGGACAGAAATGACAGAAGCAATCTTATTTTTTTCTTAATCTAAACTGCAGAGAGTTCCCAGGCCGCAGTTCTTCCAAAGTAGTGTTTGGGTGTTATAGAGGGCAGACCAGTTCAACAAAACAAATGGATTTGCATTTCCACATAATGAAAATAGATTCAGATTGTTGTTTTGAACTCTAATCTCAATGTATACTTTACTATGGCACCAACTTGCAAGCACTAGGCATATTCATTTCTTGCTTCAGTGAAACTTGTGGAACTACCAGCAGTCGTGCACATACTCCGCAGGCTCTGCACTGAGTTGTGTGATAATTTTAGTCAATGTTACTTCTGTATTCTGGTGGACAAAATCCAACCAATAACTGAGTTACAGCTGATATTTAGGAGAGTAGTTTTCTGTGGACCCCATGAGTTCCAGGCTAGGGGGGGTTTGGTGGGGTTTTTTCCCCTTTATTTTTTCACTTGTCCAAAATACAGCTCTTAAGAATGTCTTTCAATTCTATATATAGGTCACATTGGAGGATTACACTGGTGGCTGTTACTAAATATGGTATGATAAGAGATCAAGTGCAGTTAAAAAAAAAAGTTGCTGTTTTAATATGTAAAGCCTTATTTTACAATATTATTAGCGTTATATCTGCAGCTGTTACTGAGGATACCAAGCCAGCTCTTTTGAAGCATGGTTGCCTGATGCATGCAAATGTCTGTTGGCCCTCCCTAAGACTTTTTAAAATAACTATTGTCCTTACAGAAATGTACATATTGAATACATACTGAATTCTTTTAGAATGTCATAATTTCTGCTATAAGCATACACCTTTATGGGCACATTGTAAAAGATAAAGACATTTTCGATATTTCAAACATGTTGAAGTCTGCATTTTGTCTCCAGTGTGGTGGTGATTAAAAAAGTTGTAATGACAAATTTAATCAATTTACTGTGGGGCAATTAATGTAAAGACATTTTCTCACCTTCTAATTTACTAAATTATATCTTCTCAAACTATACAAAATTTACTTTATTTCATATAGGAGTATTTCTGGCCAGGATACTATTTTGAGGAAGAAAGAATTTGCATGTGTAATTTGTACTGCATTTCTTATATCTCAAATCTGTTAATAATGACATTTATCTTGTGCCTTGGGACATGCCAGAGGAGCAAGCTACCTTTGTATGTGTTCTCCATTGTTTATGCATTCCTCTCAGACACGTATGTGTTCTCATATGGCCAATTAGTCCTTGCTGCTCCCCTTTGCCTAATAAATCATGGCTTTGTCCACTAGTGACACTGGTACTAATGTGAATGTAGTTCTGCTGCTGAGCTGGGCCTTGTACAACACACTGTAAAAAATGTCAAGTGTTTGACCTGTGACAAAAGCCTAGAGTATTTTATTTGAAAGCACAAAAATATTGCTTGAAAGAGGGGGATAAAAAACTGATTGATGTGATGAGTGAAAAACATTCTTGCGGATGTTTAACAATCACAGTGCATTCCTTTTCATTGGTTTAAATGCAATCTCAAAACAACATTCCTTATTCTAGCGCTTGGTTTCTGTACTTCTGTGAAATTAATGGTCTAGTATACACTAAAAAAGTCTGGCCTCAGTCAGTTACATCAGACCCCAAAATAAAGAATTTTTGTTTAGGGTTTTTCAAGCAAATAAAAACATCTTTAAGAAGAATTTACATTTTACAATGGAAAAATCAGTTAAGTGTGATTCAAATATGTGATATCCAATGGGAACCAATGCCGATTGAAGGCAGAGGAAAAAAATATCACAATAAATAAAAAACATGAAGGATTGCTATGGAAACAGTAAATGAGAAGTTATAAAGCAGAGAAGATTGATAAAAGATGCTAAGGACATCAGAGAGTTGTCTGCTAAGTAAGCTGACAAGGATATGGGTCAGAGGATGGTGTTGCAGCAAACTAAGAATAAAATAATGAGGATGTGAAATCATGAGTAACCACGTTGGCAAAGTAGCAACATTCAAAAAATATATTTGTATTTCTTTTAGAGAAAAAAGTCCTTTGTACTCAAACCAGAAGAGACAAGGGATGTACTTCCAAACTTCTTAAAACCAAATAAGATATTATTAATATCTGTTAGGCTCTGATGGTTTGTAGCCGAGTTCCAAGAAAATGCTTGGAAGACTTCAGTGGCTGCTGAAAATCTCAGTCTGGGGATGATGGTTCTCTGGGAATCATAACTGGGCAGGAAGGTGATATTTTTAAGTGTTCTGTGAGATTTGGGACATATCTGGACAATACTGAGTACTTTTTTCAGTGATATGGAAGAAATTGTAAAATCATGACTGATGTACAAGTGACACGGAAGTATTGAAATAGTAAAAGTATGGCAGGGCAAGGAAAGAGAGCTCTTCATATTACTTGGTAAGCTGGGCCCATTAAATGAGCAAAGTACCTTTTAAAGTAGCCGAAGTTATTTGTTTAAAAAACTGGAAATGCAGGCCAGAGTGGACTGCATTATGGAAAGCAGCAACTCTGGAAAAGATTTAGGAGTTAGTGAATAAATAATTCAGATTGATCTTCTACTGTGATGCTGTGGCACAAAAAGCTAATTCAGTCATGAATATAAACAGGAATGGTAGATGGTAGGAAGAGGTAATTTTACTTCTGAGTGTGGTACTGATGAAGCTAGTACTGAAATACAGGCTTTACTTCTGGTGTCCACATTTTGAATAGGGCTTTAAAAACGGGATAGGTTGCAGAACAGGCTGAATATATTAACTTAGGGTTCGAGAAAATGCCTTAAAAGAAACTTAAAGACTTAAATCTTTTTAAAGGTACCAGAAAGAATGTTAGTTGTATATAAATACCTTCATAAGAAGAAAGTACTAGCTATTGAAGATTTTTTTTTTATTGCAGCAAAGATACTAAAATTAGAAGTAAGGTCCATTATTAATAGATGGGAACATCATTTGAACGCAACAGCAAGAAAAAGGGCTTCTCTCTCTTTCAGAATATCAAAACTGTAAAACTTTTTAAAGTTTTCCTTCAACTGGTTGCAAGCTATTGGACTCAGCATGGGATAAGTAAGGGAATATGCTGGTCTGCAAATAGTTGGTTTAGAGAACGCTGCTTTCTTGGCTTAAAGTATATGAATATTGAGCAGTTTTTGTTCCTCATAATTTAATAAATCACAAAAGGTCAATATTAGCTCTGGACAAAAGTTGTGTAACTGTTTGTCCTGAGAATTACAGCAAAAGTATTGTAATTGCAGTATTAAAATGATTATTCAGGGCAGTTCAAAAAGTAAAAGCAGGTATATGGGGAGATGGCTTGGGAATATAACCTGTATATTTATTGTCTTAAGAGTAAAAGAAGTATTTGAATAAGCTCTTTTAAAAAAGATTCAAGCCACTTAATGCTCATTTGACTTAACTTCGGGGATTGTAGTGCCAGCAGAATGGATGAAAACATTTTTTTCAGGAAGGGACAGTGTAGTAACATAGTAATTTATGGTATTAAGTAGATGCATTGAAGAGTGTGGACATGAGGACTACTCTAGAAGAAAGGTAATTCCTGAATGCCAGTAGTTGAAATCTGCAAGTGT